GGGCATGGGGCCACTGTCACTCACAAGGTGGGCATGGGGGCCACTGTCACTCACAAGGTGGGCATGGGGCCACTGTCACTCACAAGGTGGGCATGGGGGCCACTGTCACTCACAAGGTGGGCATGGAGGACCACTGTCACTCACAAGGTGGGCATGGGGGCCACTGTCACTCACAAGGTGGGCATGGAGGACCACTGTCACTCACAAGGTGGGCATGGGGGCCACTGTCACTCACAAGGTGGGCATAGGGGCCACTGTCACTCACAAGGTGGGCATGGAGGACCACTGTCACTCACAAGGTGGGCATGGGGGCCACTGTCACTCACAAGGTGGGCATGGAGGACCACTGTCACTCACAAGGTGGGCATGGGGGCCACTGTCACTCACAAGGTGGGCATGGGGCCACTGTCACTCACAAGGTGGGCATGGGGGCCACTGTCACTCACAAGGTGGGCATGGGGCCACTGTCACTCACAAGGTGGGCATGGGGGCCACTGTCACTCACAAGGTGGGCATGGGGCCACTGTCACTCACAAGGTGGGCATGGGGGTCACTGTCACTCACACGGTGGGCATGGGGCCACTGTCACTCACAAGGTGGGCATGGGGGCCACTGTCACTGACAAGGTGGGCATGGAGGACCACTATCACTCACAAGGTGGGCATGGGGGCCACTGTCACTCACAAGGTGGGCATGGGGGCCACTGTCACTCACAAGGTGGGCATGGAGGACCACTGTCACTCACAAGGTGGGCATGGGGGCCACTGTCACTCACAAGGTGGGCATGGGGGACCACTGTCACTCACAAGGTGGGCATGGGGGCCACTGTCACTCACAAGGTGGGCATGGGGGCCACTGTCACTCACAAGGTGGGCATGGGGCCACTATCACTCACAAGGTGGGCATGGGGGCCACTGTCACTCACAAGGTGGGCATGGAGGACCACTGTCACTCACAAGGTGGGCATGGGGGCCACTGTCACTCACAAGGTGGGCATGGGGGCCACTGTCACTCACAATGTGGGCATGGGGGCCACTGTCACTCACAAGGTGGGCATGGGGGCCACTGTCACTCACAAGGTGGGCATGGGGGCCACTGTCACTCACAAGGTGGGCATGGGGGCCACTGTCACTGACAAGGTGGGCATGGGGGCCACTGTCACTGACAAGGTGGGCATGGGGCCACTGTCACTCACAAGGTGGGCATGGGGGCCACTGTCACTCACAAGGTGGGCATGGGGGCCACTGTCACTCACAAGGTGGGCATGGAGGCCACTGTCACAAGGTGGGCATGGGGGCCACTGTCACTCACAAGGTGGGCATGGGGGCCACTGTCACAAGGTGGGCATGAGGGCCACTGTCACAAGGTGGGCATGGGGGCAACTGTCACTCACAAGATGGGCATGGGGGCCACTGTCACTCACAAGGTGGGCATGGAGAACCACTGTTACTCACAAGGTGGGCATGGAGGACCACTGTCACTCACAAGGTGGGCATGGAGGACCACTGTCACTCACAAGGTGGGCATGGAGGACCACTGCCACTCACAAGGTGGGCATGGAGGACCACTGTCACTCACAAGGTGGGCATGGAGGACCACTGTCACTCACAAGGTGGGCATGGAGGACCACTGCCACTCACAAGGTGGGCATGGAGGACCACTGTCACTCACAAGGTGGGCATGGGGCCACTGTCACTCACAAGGTGGGCATGGGGGCCACTGTCACTCACAAGGTAGGCATGGGGGCCACTGTCACTCACAAGGTGGGCATGGAGGACCACTGTCACTCACAAGGTGGGCATGGAGGACACTGTCACTCACAAGAGCACAACAGCAGGGAACCACTATGAAGGGAGTGGTCCGGTCTGGTCGGTGGAGATCCGCGCAATTGTATCAAAACCAGTAATGCTTGTCATCATCCAGGGCGCCGGTCCCTGCCCTCTCCTCTACCCCATCCTCCCCCTGCCTAACCCTGCCTTACCCTGCCCACCGTGTGGGTCTCACTCCCCTACCCACCAACCGGTTCTTGAGTGGATGCTACCAGTTACTGCCCCCCTCGCCGGACTGGTGATTCCCGGACTGAACCAGTTCACGCACATTCTCTGAGAGTTCTGAAACAATGTCGACTTTCACAAGGAAACAAATAACTTGAGAAATACACCTGAAAGAGTTGTTTCCGTTCCCTTAGACTTAACTTCGAGTAACGTAAGGTCTCAGATTTCTCATGCTAGCAGTCGTCAACTTGATCACCATACACCTGTAGACTATGCCGACATGCTGCTTCAACAACATGCAAGCACTGCCAGTATAAGCAGCCTGCCCCTAGATGTGCAACACCATTTGGCTAGTACCAAAATAAATCGTAATTTCAATATTGAAATTGCCTGTAGTGAAATAGGGCCTGATGATAACTATGACATAACTCCCTTTGAAATTTGAAATAAAAAATGCACTCAAGAAAGGTAAGGCTACCTCTCCTGGAGAGGATGGCATCACACACAACACCATGAGAGCACTTGCTGAGCTGCCAAACAACCCTTTGCTAGAATTGTTTAATCAAAGTCTAAGGCAGGGTGTTTTACCTGACCGCTGGACACAGGGACCCATATGTACCCATACCCAAGCCTAATTCACAAAAATTCAGACCATCTCTCTGACGTCGTGTATGTGTAAAGTTCTTAAGAGGATTATACTCGACAGATTAATGTTTAAATTAGTCCTTAGCTTGCCCCTAACCTGTATGGTTTCCTTCCTGGAAGAAGCACACAAACTTGCTTTGCTAAATATTTTATTAAAGTGGGACCAAGCTCTCAGGCGGTATTTATTGACCTCGAAACTGCTTTTGATACAGAAAATAGAGAAATTAGCTTAGAACAACTAGCCTCTTTTGGAGTTAAGGGAAGAGTGTTGACATGGCTCAGGGGTTACCTGAGTAACAGAGTAACAGTACCTGACCTCAGTCCCTTTTCAAAGGGGTCAAAAGTAAACATTGTGCACCCTTTGAGTTGGGTACACCCCAGGGTGGAGTGCTCAGCCCAACACTGTTCAATGTTCTAATGCACAAATTAACAATTGATATTCCTACACTTTCTGACAAAGCCGTCATCTGTTCTGCCGATGATATATGCATTGTTGCAAATACCCAAACTAGACTGCAAGATCTACTTGATTCACTTGCCGCTAAAAGCATTGAATTTGGTCTTGTTATCTCTATAACTAAATTCAGAGTTCTCCATCCCCAAGAGAACACTCATGTCCCTATAGCTTTCAAGGTCAACAACCAGAACATTGAAACGTGTAGGGAGCACAAATACCTTGGTACCTTGGAGTTGGTATTAACAGTGACATTGTAAGCGATCTACACCGTAGGTCAAAAGAAAGACTTAAACCATTGAGAACACTTACTGGTAAGAATATTTGTGTCAATATTAGATATGCTAGATTATTCTATATGATGTTTGTGAGATCTCTCGTTGATTATCATGCTTTGCACCTAATTAACTTCATCTGTGTTGGACGAACTAGAAGTAGTACAGAATGAAGCCATTAAGATCGATGTCGCAAGATGCACAAGAATCATCAACATGAGGGAAGAACTGAATCTTCCAACCATACTGTAGAGAATCATGCAAGTCAACACGACCTTTTGCCTTAAAGTCATGAGAGACCCGACATCTCCTGCATTGCTCAGAGACAAATTATTTAATGCTGGTAACACCCTATTGACTGGTGCCGACATACAGACTCACTCCTTGTGTGATAAATGGCTGAGCAACAATGTCTACAATCTCAACAAACTCAACATTCCTTTTAAGTGCAATCTACTTGTCTCCGATATTCCTCTTTATCTGTGCCCCATCACTCAAGTATCATACACACCTGTCACCAAGAAACGTAATGGGAATCTTGCTCATCTCAATGCTGTCACACATGAAACAATTGCCTCCTTCATCGAACATTTAAGATCTCACGAGTGACGGCTCAGTCCGATCTTCTACTGGACGGACTTCAGCAGCATGTAGGTTTTATAGAAATAATAGAGTCCACATGCTGGTGAGTGCCCCCGTATAGTCCACGTGCTGGTGAGTGCGCCCCATAGACTCCACGTGCTGGTGAGTGCGCCCCGTAGAGTCCACGTGCTGGTGAGTGCGCCCCGTAGAGTCCACGTGCTGGTGAGTGCGCCCCGTAGAGTCCACGTGCTGGTGAGTGCCCCCGTAGAGTCCACGTGCTGGTGAGTGCCCCCGTAGAGTCCACGTGCTGGTGAGTGCGCCCCATAGACTCCACGTGCTGGTGAGTGCGCCCCGTAGAGTCCACGTGCTGGTGAGTGCGCCCCGTAGAGTCCACGTGCTGGTGAGTGCGCCCCGTAGAGTCCACGTGCTGGTGAGTGCGCCCCGTAGAGTCCACGTGCTGGTGAGTGCGCCCCGTAGAGTCCACGTGCTGGCGTCTGAGTGGAGAACACTCACCAAGTAAGAGTGATAACAGGGTGCAGGCGGCACCATTACCATACAATTAGCGTGCAGAGCATGAAGCGTGTAGAGATGTAGGAGCCACACCTGGCCCACTCTGTGTATCCAGGATGTGTTATATACGTATTGGCCCGCCACACTACCCATCACTGCCTCTTCCGCATCACCAAGATCGGGGAAACCCAGAGTCAATACGTACAGTACTTGGATATTCTATCACAACACCCCATAACTGACACGAATTTAAATAACAGAGAGAGAGAGAGTAAGAGATAGAGAGAAGAAGAGGAAGGAGAGAGACAAAGAGAGAGAGAGAGAGAGAGAGAGAGAGAGAGAGAGAGAGAGAGAGAGAGAGAGAGAGAGAGAGAGAGAGAGAGAGAGAGAGAGAGAGAGAGACGGACAGACAGAGACAGAGAGAAAGCAGAGATTGAGCAAGTAAGGAAGCCATGAGACACACTGCCCTAATAAGTCCATCACACCTCGGAAACCTGGTGGTTGCTGCAGAACATTATATGCAACACAAGTTGGCTTCCATCACGAGTATGCACAGCGCTCCTGGGGGCCCCTGTGCTCCTGGGGGCCTCGGTACTCCTGGGGGCCTCGGTACTCCTGGGGGCCCCGGTGCTCCTGGGCGCCCCGGTACTCCTGGGGGCCCCGGTGCTCCTGGGGGCCTCGGTGCTCCTGGGGGCCCCGGTGCTCCTGGGCGCCTCGGTGCTCCTGGGCGCCCCGGTGCTCCTGGAGGCCCCGGTGCTCCTGGGGGCCTCGGTGCTCCTGGGCGCCCCGGTGCTCCTGGGGGCCCCGGTGCTCCTGGAGGCCCCGGTGCTCCTGGGCGCCCCGGTGCTCCTGGGGGCCCCGGTGCTCCTTGGCGCCCCGGTGCTCCTTGGCGCCCCGGGTGCTCCTGGGGGCCTCGGTGCTCCTGGGGGCCCCGGTGCTCCTGGGGGCCCCGGTGCCCCTGGAGGCCCCGGTGCTCCTGGGGGCCCCGGTGCTCCTGGGGGCCCCGGTGCTCCTGGGCGCCCCGGTGCTCCTGGGGGCCTCAGTGCTCCTGGGCGCCCCGGGTGCTCCTGGGCGCCCCGGTGCTCCTGGGCGCCCCGGTGCTCCTGGGCGCCCCGGTGCTCCTGGGCGCCCCGGGTGCTCCTGGGCGCCCCGGGTGCTCCTGGGCGCCCCGGGTGCTCCTGGGCGCCCCGGTGCTCCTGGGCGCCCCGGGTGCTCCTGGGCGCCCCGGTGCTCCTGGGCGCCCCGGGTGCTCCTTGGCGCCCCGGTGCTCCTGGGCGCCCCGGGTGCTCCTTGGCGCCCTGGTGCTCCTGGGGGCCTCGGTGCTCCAGGGCGCCCCTGTGCTCCTGGGGGCCCCGGGTGCTCCTGGGCGCCCCGGTGCTCCTGGGGGCCTCGGTGCTCCAGGGCGCCCCTGTGCTCCTGGGGGCCCCGGTGCTCCTGGGGCCCCGGTGCTCCTGGGGGTCAAGGAGAGAGAGAGAAGTTTCATGGTTGGTTCTCCCATGCCTAGTTCTCCCATGGTTGGTTCTCCTATACCTGGTTCTCCCATGGTTTCTTCTCCCATGCCTGGTTCTTCCATGCCTGGTTCTCCCATGCCTAGTTCTCCCATGGTTGGTTCTCCCATGGTTGGTTCTCCTATACCTGGTTCTCCCATGGTTGGTTCTCCCATGCCTGGTTCTCCCATGGTTGGTTCTCCCATGTCTGGTTCTCCCATGTCTGGTTCTCCCATGGTTGGTTCTCCCATGGTTGGTTCTCCCATGTCTGGTTCTCCCATGTCTGGTTCTCCCATGGTTCGTTCTCCTATGTCTGGTTCTCCCATGGTTCGTTCTCCCATGGTTGGTTCTCCTATACCTGGTTCTCCCATGGTTGGTTCTCCCATGCCTGGTTCTCCCATGGTTGGTTCTCCCATGTCTGGTTCTCCCATGTCTGGTTCTCCCATGTCTGGTTCTCCCATGTCTGGTTCTCCCATGCCTGGTTCTCCCATGCCTGGTTCTCCCATGCCTGGTTCTCCCATGCCTGGTTCTCCCATGCCTGGTTCTCCCATGTCTGGTTCTCCCATGTCTGGTTCTCCCATGGTTGGCTCTCCCATGGTTAGTTCTCCCATGTCTGGTTCTCCCATGTCTGGTTCTCCCATGTCTGGTTCTCCCATGGTTGGCTCTCCCATGGTTGGTTCTCCCATGTCTGGTTCTCCCATGTCTGGTTCTCCCATGTCTGGTTCTCCCATCGTTGGTTCTCCCATCGTTGGTTCTCCCATCGTTGGTTCTCCCATGCCTGGTTCTCCCATGCCTGGTTCTCCCATGCCTGGTTCTCCCATGCCTGATTATCCCATGCCTGATTCTCCCATGTATGGTTCTCCCATGCCTGGTTCTCCTTATGGTTGGTTCTCCCTGGCATGGGAGAACCAACCATGGGAGAACCAGGCATGGGAGAACCAACCATGGGAGAACCAGGCATGGGATAACCAACCATGGGAGAACCAGGCATGGGAGAACCAACCATGGGAGAACCAGGCATGGGATAACCAACCATGGGAGAACCAGGCATGGGAGAACCAACCATGGGAGAACCAGGCATGGGAGAACCAACCATGGGAGAACCAGGCATGGGAGAACCAACCATGGGAGATCCAGGCATGGGAGAACCAACCATGGGAGAACCAGGTATAGGAGAACCAACCATGGGACAACCACCCATGGGAGAACTAGGCATGGGAGAACCAACCATGGGAGAACCAACCATGGGAGAACCAGGCATGGGAGAACCAACCATGGGAGAACCAACCATGGGAGAACCAACCATGGGAGAACCAACCATGGGAGAACCAACCATGGGAGAACCAGGCATGGGAGAACCAACCATGGGAGAACCAGACATGGGAGAACCAACCATGGGAGATCCAGGCATGGGAGAACCAACCATAGGAGAACCAGGTATAGGAGAACCAACCATGGGAGAACCACCCATGGGAGAACTAGGCATGGGAGAACCAACCATGGGAGAACCAACCATGGGAGAACCAGGCATGGGAGAACCAGGCATGGGAGAACCAACCATGGGAGAACCAACCATGGGAGAACCAACCATGGGAGAACCAGGCATGGGAGAACCAACCATGGGAGAACCAACCATGGGAGAACCAACCATGGGAGAACCAACCATGGGAGAACCAACCATGGGAGAACCAACCATGGGAGAACCAACCATGGGAGAACCAACCATGGGAGAACCAACCATGGGAGAACCAACCATGGGAGATTGGTAAGACATGGTAACAACAAGAGTTATGACACACCTTTTCTTATTGGTCTTCACTTATTCGTGAGTGAGTCACTCACTGAGTTCTCACTAAGTTAGAAATCCGTCACTTCTGGTGAAGTCTTATTGGTCGGGTCCCAACACAGCAGGGCGGAGGTCCAGCAGGGAGGAGGTCCAGCAGGGCGGAGGTCCAGCAGGGCGGAGGTCCAGCAGGGCGGAGGTCCAGCAGGGCGGAGGTCCAGCAGGGCGGAGGTCCAGCAGGGTGGAGGTCCAGCAGGGCGGAGGTCCAGCAGGGCGGAGGTCCAGCAGGGCGGAGGTCCAGCAGGGTGGAGGTCCAGCAGGGCGGAGGTCCAGCAGGGTGGAGGTCCAGCAGGGAGGAGGTCCAGCAGGGCGGAGGTCCAGCAGGGCGGAGGTCCAGCAGGGCGGATATCGAGGTCCAGCAGGGAGGAGGTCCAGCAGGGAGGAGGTCCAGCAGGGCGGAGGTCCAGCAGGGCGGAGGTCCAGCAGGGCGGAGGTCCAGCAGGGCGGAGGTCCAGCAGGGCGGAGGTCCAGCAGGGAGGAGGTCCAGCAGGGAGGAGGTCCAGCAGGGAGGAGGTCCAGCAGGGCGGAGGTCCAGCAGGGCGGAGGTCCAGCAGGGAGGAGGTCCAGCAGGGCGGAGGTCCAGCAGGGCGGAGGTCCAGCAGGGCGGAGGTCCAGCAGGGCGGAGGTCCAGCAGGGCGGAGGTCCAGCAGGGCGGAGGTCCAGCAGGGAGGAGGTCCAGCAGGGAGGAGGTCCAGCAGGGAGGAGGTCCAGCAGGGCGGAGGTCCAGCAGGGCGGAGGTCCAGCAGGGCGGAGGTCCAGCAGGGAGGAGGTCCAGCAGGGAGGAGGTCCAGCAGGGAGGAGGTCCAGCAGGGCGGAGGTCCAGCAGGGCGGAGGTCCAGCAGGGCGGAGGTCCAGCAGGGCGGAGGTCCAGCAGGGAGGAGGTCCAGCAGGGAGGAGGTCCAGCAGGGCGGAGGTCCAGCAGGGCGGAGGTCCAGCAGGGCGGAGGTCCAGCAGGGAGGAGGTCCAGCAGGGAGGAGGTCCAGCAGGGCGGAGGTCCAGCAGGGCGGAGGTCCAGCAGGGCGGAGGTCCAGCAGGGAGGAGGTCCAGCAGGGCGGAGGTCCAGCAGGGCGGAGGTCCAGCAGGGTGGAGGTCCAGCAGGGAGGAGGTCCAGCAGGGCGGAGGTCCAGCAGGGTGGAGGTCCAGCAGGGTGGAGGTCCAGCAGGGTGGAGGTCCAGCAGGGTGGAGGTCCAGCAGGGCGGAGGTCCAGCAGGGTGGAGGTCCAGCAGGGTGGAGGTCCAGCAGGGAGGAGGTCCAGCAGGGTGGAGGTCCAGCATGGCGGAGGTCCAGCAGGGTGGAGGTCCAGCAGGGTGGAGGTCCAGCATGGCGGAGGTCCAGCAGGGAGGAGGTCCAGCAGGGTGGAGGTCCAGCAGGGCGGAGGTCCAGCAGGGAGGAGGTCCAGCAGGGTGGAGGTCCAGCATGGCGGAGGTCCAGCATGGCGGAGGTCCAGCAGGGTGGAGGTCCAGCAGGGAGGAGGTCCAGCATGGCGGAGGTCCAACAGGGCGGAGGTCCAGCAGGGCGGAGGTCCAGCAGGCCGGAGGTCCAGCAGGGCGGAGGTCCAGCATGGCGGAGGTCCAGCAGGGCGGAGGTCCAGCAGGGCGGAGGTCCAGCAGGGCGGAGGTCCAGCAGGGTGGAGGTCCAGCAGGGCGGAGGTCCAGCAGGGCGGAGGTCCAGCAGGGAGGAGGTCCAGCAGGGCGCAGGGCGGAGGTCCAGCAGGGCGGAGGTCCAGCAGGGAGGAGGTCCAGCAGGGCGGAGGTCCAGCAGGGCGCAGAGGTCCAGCAGGGCGGAGGTCCAGCAGGGCGGAGGTCCAGCAGGGCGGAGGAGGTCCAGCAGGGCGGAGGTCCAGCAGGGCGGAGGTCCAGCAGGGCGGAGGTCCAGCAGGGCGGAGGTCCAGCAGGGCGGAGGTCCAGCAGGGCGGAGGTCCAGCAGGGCGGAGGTCCAGCAGGGCGGAGGTCCAGCAGGGCGGAGGTCCAGCAGGGCGGAGGTCCAGCAGGGCGGAGGTCCAGCAGGGCGGAGGTCCAGCAGGGCGGAGGTCCAGCAGGGCGGAGGTCCAGCAGGGCGGAGGTCCAGCAGGGAGGAGGTCCAGCAGGGAGGAGGTCCAGCAGGGAGGAGGTCCAGCAGGGCGGAGGTCCAGCAGGGCGGAGGTCCAGCAGGGTGGAGGTCCAGCAGGGAGGAGGTCCAGCAGGGTGCAGGGAGGAGGTCCAGCAGGGCGGAGGTCAGGGGCGGAGGTCCAGCAGGGCGGAGGTCCAGCAGGGAGGAGGTCCAGCAGGGCGGAGGTCCAGGGGCGGAGGTCCAGCAGGGCGGAGGTGGAGGTCCAGCAGGGAGGAGGTCCAGCAGGGCGGAGGTCCAGCAGGGTGGAGGTCCAGCAGGGTGGAGGTCCAGCAGGGCGGAGGTCCAGCAGGGAGGAGGTCCAGCAGGGCGGAGGTCCAGCAGGGCGGAGGTCCAGCAGGGCGGAGGTCCAGCAGGGCGGAGGTCCAGCAGGGCGGAGGTCCAGCAGGGAGGAGGTCCAGCAGGGAGGAGGTCCAGCAGGGAGGAGGTCCAGCAGGGAGGAGGTCCAGCAGGGTGGAGGTCCAGCAGGGAGGAGGTCCAGCAGGGCGGAGGTCCAGCAGGGAGGAGGTCCAGCAGGGCGGAGGTCCAGCAGGGTGGAGGTCCAGCAGGGTGGAGGTCCAGCAGGGAGGAGGTCCAGCAGGGTGGAGGTCCAGCAGGGGCGGAGGTCCAGCAGGGAGGAGGTCCAGCAGGGCGGAGGAGGTCCAGCAGGGCGGAGGTCCAGCAGGGCGGAGGTCCAGCAGGGCGGAGGTCCAGCAGGGTGGAGGTCCAGCAGGGCGGAGGTCCAGCAGGGCGGAGGTCCAGCAGGGCGGAGGTCCAGCAGGGTGGAGGTCCAGCAGGGCGGAGGTCCAGCAGGGCGGAGGTCCAGCAGGGCGGAGGTCCAGCAGGGCGGAGGTCCAGCAGGGCGGAGGTCCAGCAGGGCGGAGGTCCAGCAGGGCGGAGGTCCAGCAGGGCGGAGGTCCAGCAGGGCGGAGGTCCAGCAGGGCGGAGGTCCAGCAGGGCGGAGGTCCAGCAGGGTGGAGGTCCAGCAGGGCGGAGGTCCAGCAGGGCGGAGGAGGTCCAGCAGGGTGGAGGTCCAGCAGGGCGGAGGTCCAGCAGGGCGGAGGTCCAGCAGGGAGGAGGTCCAGCAGGGCGGAGGTCCAGCAGGGAGGAGGTCCAGCAGGGAGGAGGTCCAGCAGGGCGGAGGTCCAGCAGGGCGGAGGTCCAGCAGGGAGGAGGTCCAGCAGGGCGGAGGTCCAGCAGGGCAGGTCCAGCAGGGTGGAGGTCCAGCAGGGTGGAGGTCCAGCAGGGTGGAGGTCCAGCAGGGTGGAGGTCCAGCATGGCGGAGGTCCAGCAGGGAGGAGGTCCAGCAGGGTGGAGGTCCAGCAGGGTGGAGGTCCAGCAGGGCGGAGGTCCAGCAGGGAGGAGGTCCAGCAGGGTGGAGGTCCAGCAGGGTGGAGGTCCAGCATGGCGGAGGTCCAGCAGGGTGGAGGTCCAGCAGGGTGGAGGTCCAGCATGGCGGAGGTCCAGCAGGGCGGAGGTCCAGCAGGGCGGAGGTCCAGCAGGGCGGAGGTCCAGCAGGGCGGAGGTCCAGCAGGGCGGAGGTCCAGCATGGCGGAGGTCCAGCAGGGCGGAGGTCCAGCAGGGTGGAGGTCCAGCAGGGCGGAGGTCCAGCAGGGCGGAGGTCCAGCAGGGAGGAGGTCCAGCAGGCGGAGGTCCAGCAGGGCGGAGGTCCAGCAGGGTGGAGGTCCAGCAGGGCGGAGGTCCAGCAGGGAGGAGGTCCAGCAGGGAGGAGGTCCAGCAGGGTGGAGGTCCAGCAGGGTGGAGGTCCAGCAGGGAGGAGGTCCAGCAGGGCGGAGGTCCAGCAGGGCGGAGGTCCAGCAGGGTGGAGGTCCAGCAGGGCGGAGGTCCAGCAGGGCGGAGGTCCAGCATTGTGGAGGTCCAGCAGGGCGGAGGTCCAGCAGGGAGGAGGTCCAGCAGGGTGGAGGTCCAGCATGGCGGAGGTCCAGCAGGGTGGAGGTCCAGCAGGGTGGAGGTCCAGCAGGGTGGAGGTCCAGCAGGGTGGAGGTCCAGCAGGGTGACTGAGGTGTTCACGCCTCCAGACACGACGCTGGCTGGTCCTCCACTCTCACTCTTCCCCTTGCACCTTGACAGCCCCACCCTGACTCCTCCCTCCCTTGACAGCCCCACCCTGACACTACGTGGGAGCCTCGTGAGCAGTCATTCGTGGGTTCTCGGTTAGGTTAGGTTAGGTTAGGTTCGGGCAATTTAGTACATCAGTTTTGAGAGGTTGTGAACGCTGGAGACGCCAAGCTGACACTAGAGCGGTACCCGACCATCGGGGTGGATGGTCGGCCTCTCCTTCAGTACCATGAGTAGGGCAGCAGTGAGGAGCTTGGCGCCCCGGTCTTGGTCAGGTGGTCTGTAGCACACTCTTGTGGTCCCTAGCCGGCGCCAGGCTTGACCAGTGGTCCCGGGGCCGGCGCCAGGCTTGGCCAGGGGTCCCGGGCCGGCGCCAGGCTTGGCCAGGGGTCCCGGGCCGGCGCCAGGCTTGGCCAGTGGTCCTGGGCCGGCGCCAGGCTTGGCCAGGGGGTCCCGGGCCGGCGCCAGGCTTGGCCAGTGGTCCCGGGCCGGCGCCAGGCTTGGCTAGGGGTCCCGGGCCGGCGCCAGGCTTGGCCAGGTGATCTCGGGGTTAAATGCTACAGAAGTCTTATCTACCGGAAACCTCGAATGGCCTTGCTCATCCTTGGAAAATTATCTGGTTCTTGTCCCATGACAGCTGGCAGCAGTCAACAACATAACCTGGCTCTTGACCCATGACAGCTGGCAGCAGTCAACAACATAACCTGGCTCTTGACCCATGACAGCTGGCAGCAGTCAACAACATAACCTGGCTCTTGACCC